CTGTACAAGCTCATTGTAGCTCTCAACTGCTAAATCTGGGCTCGAATTTTAAGAGTCTGAACGTCTCGCGATCGCACTCAAAGTGCTTTGAAGTCTCGGTCTCGCAATCTAAAAAGTCAAAATGTCTCGGGCTCGCAAAGAAAAACGCTTGTCTCGCAGTCTCGCATTTACCATTCGCCACCTTTATCAGTCAAGAATGCGGATTATCGGTCCGCTGTCCCAAAATAACGCAATGACGTCATTGTTGTCATGTAGATTAGACCTTCTTGTCCGCGTTGTTCATATTTCCGTAGGTAAGATAAGTCACTCCGTCACTCCGATTGCTGCTTGGGCTCCGCTGTAATTCTTGGACACAAAACCGAGTAGACGTGATTAATCGACGGCCAGCTGCGTGTTAAACAATGGCCTCGGCTTGGATTTTCTCTACAGTTACGGGTGAGTGTAGCTTTAGTCGGTTAAAGCTGAAGTGATCTCATATGTACATGTAGTTACATTCCATGTCTGAGATGCAGATTTATACTTCTGACTATTTCTTGAGGCTTTTAGACACTGATTAGGCTGCAATTCTGATACTTTCTCTGTTTCAAATTTACATGTTACTCCTCATGTGTACAATAAGCGTTAATATTCTCCTGCATCACTTATCCTTGCTTGCAATCGAAGTTTAAACGCCGCCGAATGTCTTTGTGTACAGCTACAGGCTGCTTTAAGCTTTACCTTCACATGTCAGCAATCAAGCTGCAGATAATATTGTTCGAAAGATAAATCGATATTCGCCCCGTCTTGGAACCTTCAACTTCCGTTTCTCATTAGCGACTACTATTGGTGTCTCAAGCTATTAGGTAGAGAAATTTCAGATAATTTCAGAATTTCAGATACAAGAAAGTTCCGGGTACGTAAGCTGCGTGCTAGGAAAACAAGATTTGCTTCAAATCACTTTTGTTATGGAAAACTGTTCAACTTACTGTGGCTACGACGCGACCATCACTGACATCATCTCTTTGGCACAGTAGTTTAGCAAATAGATGCTGTTGTGTTAGATCGCGTCCAGTCTGACCACAATTGCGTGGGTTTCTTGTGGCGCAACACAAACGGGGAAAACATCACTTCCATATGCCCAGACAAGTCCGACAGCCTTTATTACTGATATTTTATGTCCAGTCTTTAGAAAACAGTCGAATCGCATCGGCTAGATAGTACTAAGAAAGTTGTAGCCTGCGTAGCTGGCGGTTTCGGTGGGGGAATTTCGCTATTAAGAATTCAACAGACAGACCTTGAAATATAATATTTGTAGCTGAAATTCCTTATGGAACTTCTTGTATCTGTCGCCTGTACGATTATCATAAATTCAGCTCAGAATTTTTTTGTTTGTTTATGTTTTTAATTAACAAAAGTTCCTTATATTTCATTTCAAGAACGAAGAAAGTCTTTATTAAATGAATAATGGATTCACTAATAGCGCCTTATTTAAACTTGGATTAAGCCAGTAAGGGTTGTTCCTAATGATGAGTTTGAAATAACTAATATTTTTAAATGCACTTCTGGCAGTCTTGTCTGTCACCTTTCACTGTCATGATAAACAGTTACGTCAAGACTCGTTTCTCTGAGTGATCGAGTGTAGACGTTGTTGGGGGAATTAGCTGTCATGTAGACAAAATGTAGAAACGCAACTTATATTCTGAACGATAAACAGGAAGTTCTGACAATACTCGATACTCGTGAAACGCATGAAGAAGATCTCGG